GAAAACTCATTCTCTCTGGTTCCATACATTACCCCCGTAGCACTGCAGATGTAAGCCATAATTCGAGTTTCCTATAATTATATATGTTTTGTTTAACTACTTCTTTATTTTTTTTTTAACATATTATTTTTTATCTATAGATGTGGCCAGATTTGATAAAAAAAGGCCAAGGATGGTGGTCTAAATGCCATTGAGACCTATGTTTTCTGGAATGCTCATGAACCTCAGCCTCGTCAGGTGTTTTTATTTTTTTATTATTTTTTTATTTTTTCAATCTTCGTATAGCATTATAATTAATTTTAAGTTTATAATTTAACTTAGAATTTACTTTTTGTTTTGTAGTATGATTTCACTGGAAATAAAGACCTGGTAAGGTTTATTAAAACCATTCAGGAAGAACGAATGTATGTCATTCTCCGTATTGGCCCATACATATGTGGCGAATGGAATTACGGGTAATTATTATTATTATAATACAGTAGTAAAGCAATTAAAATTTTATGAAAAAAATTCTAATTTTCATCTTCTTTTTATTTCAGAGGGTTCCCTATGTGGTTGCACAATCTGCCAAATATTGAGATGCGAACACATAATCGAGTGTTCATGGTGTTTGAAAATTTTCATGTTTCCTTAATTTTATTATTAAATTTAAAAATTTAATCATTTATAATGAAATTATTACTGATACTATTTTTTTTTTTTTATTCAGAATGAAATGCAAATTTTTACCACTTTAATCGTGAACATGATGAAGCAACATAATCTCTTTGCCTCACAAGGAGGGCCTATTATCCTTGCTCAGGTTTCTTTTTTAAGGAAATAAAGACAAATTGTATTTTTTTTTTTTTAATTATTGATGGTTATAGGGAGTGCACTCAAAATTCATTTATTTGATATTTTTAAGTTCTCGTTTTTAGCTACGGTCTCTTTTAACACTGTTTGTTTGTTTTTTTTTTTTTTGAATCTGAAAAGATTGAAAATGAGTATGGAAATTGGGGTATACAGAGTAATTATGGAGAAGAAGGAAAACAGTACATAAATTGGTGTGCTAACCTGGCTAACAGTTTTCACATCGGAGTTCCCTGGATCATGTGCCAGCAGTCCGACTCTCCATGGCCATTTGTAAGTCTTCAATTTCCTAATTTGATTCTTTAAAAAAAAAATAGTTGTTGATTATTTCTAATATATTTTTGTTTGTAAAATTATATTGCAGATCAACACTTGCAATGGTTTCTATTGTGATCAATTTAGTCCCAACAATCCCAATTACCCTAAGATATGGACTGAAAATTGGAGTGGCTGGTTAGAATTTTTATACTTTTCTTCTAGAATTATTATTTATTAATTTTAAACAAAAATTTGTGATTTCATTTTCAATTACAAAATAATCAATTAATTAAATCAGGTTTGGTGCCTGGGGTGAAGCAACACCATTGAGATCTGCTGAAGATCTTGCATTTGCAGTTGCTCGTTTCTTCCAATTTCACGGCTCTCTAATGAACTATTACATGGTTAGTGTTTTGTTGAAATGTTTACAAAAACTATGTTAGCAAATACTATGATTATATTAATTGTTTATACATTTAATTTTGCTTAGTATCATGGAGGAACAAATTTTGGAAAAACTGCTGGTGGACCATACATTGTCACATCATATGATTATGATGCCCCACTTGATGAATATGGTAACTAGAAACTACTCCTATTTCATCACATTTTACAACATTTAATTAGTTTACAATATTAATATGAATGAATAGCTACAATAGTTGTTTTAAAATGGTAACTTTATCATTTTTATGATCTTTGATTATTAGGCAATCCTAATCAACCCAAATGGGGGCATCTGAGGGAACTTCACAGGGTACTTATGTCAATGGAGAAAGTCTTGACTCAGGGGGAAAGGACTACCACTGAGTATGGAAAACTGTTAGACGGAACTGTCTTTACATACCAAGGAAAATGCGTTTGTTTCTTAGGAAATGCAAATGCAGATAAAGACATGACAGTCAATTTTCAAGGAGACCAATATGTTGTCCCAGCATGGTCTGTAACCATCCTGGACGACTGCTACCAGGAAGTCTATAACACTGCCAAGGTCAATGCTCAAACGTCTATAATGGATAAGGTCAACAATGATGCTGAAGAACCATTCAGCTTGAAGTGGACTTGGAGGCCTGAACGACTTGAGGGTTACAACAATGATGTTAGCATGGAGGAGGGTCTCATCTTGAGAGCTAATATCCTCATGGACCAAAAATTCGCAAATGACACCTCAGATTATTTATGGTACTTTACCAGGTAATGTAATTTCATGAATTGCACTTTTTAAAAAGCAAATCTAAATATGGATACTTCAACACGTTACATTCTTTCTTTTTCTTTTTTCTGTTTTTTTTTGGCAGTGTCAACATTTCAAAGGATGATAACATTTGGGGAAAAGACACAACTCTACAAGTACACACCTATGGCAATGTTCTTCATGTGTTTTTCAATGGACAATACATTGGTAATTTGCCTATTGACACTTCATCTGTTTCTTGGGTGTTTGATTTCGGTTTCTACAACTTTAATGTTCTGCTTTAAATGATGGTATGTCTTCTTAGGATCACAATGGTCAGACAATGGTGGCCAGCAGTTCACTCTCGAGAAAAGGGTGACATTGAATCTTGGGATGAATACGATTGTTTTGCTCAGTGGGACTGTTGGATTTGCAAACTATGGTTACCATTTTGATGTTGCTAAGTCTGGAGTATTTAATGGTCCTGTTAAACTACTAGGAGTTGGCAGTGATGAAACTGTAACCATGGATCTTTCTACAAATCAATGGCTTTACAAGGCTGGATTGGATGGTGAGAAAAGGGAACTTTTCAAAATTAGTAATGAGGACTCAGGAGATTGGATAACAGAAAATCTTCCAACAAACAAAATGTTTGTTTGGTACAAGGTACGGTTACTCGCTAACATGATTACAAACTGTAAAACTAATCTTATATTAGTGTTTTTACATCTAAATTCTGTTTTCCCTTTTTTATTTTTTCTCAGACAACCTTTAAGGCTCCTCTAGGAACTGATCCTATTGTGGTGGATTTGATGGGGCTTGGAAAGGGGGAGGCTTGGGTCAATGGCTACAGCCTTGGCAGGTATTGGTCATCCTTTCTGGCTAGAGAACATTTTTGCAGCAAAAGCGATGACAGTTCCTGTGACTATCGTGGAGATTACTGGGGCAAAAAAGATGTGTGTCGGAAAAACTGTGGGGAGCCTAGTCAACGATGGTAATAACAGGATTCTTAATTAACCTTTCAATGATTGATTCCACTGCATTTTGGGATTAAATTTAGTTATTTATTTCTTTCTTATGTTAATCTTAGGTACCATGTTCCAAGAAGTTTCCTCCAAAATGATGATGAGGATAATGTACTAGTTTTGTTTGAGGAGCTTGGAGGCAATCCAAGTTATGTCAACTTCCGGACAGTGACTGTCGGAACAGCTTGTGGTCATGCCTATGATGGGGGTTACTTGGAGCTCTCATGCCAAGGAGGGCGAGTTTTCACTGATATCGACTTTGCTCACTTTGGTGAAATTAGAGGTAACTGCGGAGATTTTCACAGGGGCTGCTGTGGAGCTTATAATACTATAGAAATTGTTAGAGAAAAATGTCTTGGCAATGAGAGTTGCTCCTTTAGTGTTAGTGAAGATACTTTTGGACCATCTCATTGTAGAGACATTAATGTTGATCTTAGGTTAGCTGTAGAAGCTATTTGTTCATAGAACATTTATCGGTTTAATATTTATATCTTTAATAAAGGTTAGATGAGTTGGTTTTTCTTATATGTACAGCAAGAAATCAAAAATAATTTGGCAGAAAATTTAAGAACTTTTCAACTAATTAATTCTTCAATATCTAACATTAATTTATTTCTTATTTAAGAAGGATTTTGTTTGTATTAACTTGATCATTTTGGTTAGTTAGAATTGATATCTATTTCAATTATCACCTATTAATGAAAGCAAGTTGTTTGATTTAGTAATGCTGCATTCCTTTGATAATTTTCCGGTGTGGGAAGAACTCAATTTTAGGTGGGATGAGGAAGTCAAGGGCATTGAGGAAGAGTTTCATGTGCTTTGGGAGAGTTGAAAGAAAGACAGAAGGGGAAATGAAAGGTTTTATTTGGATATGGTTTGGGTGGTTTTGAAGCCCCCTCTGTTTTGTATTTTATTTTAATTTTAAAAAAATGAAGGTAAGACGAAATTAAAATGAGTATAGAAATTCTCTATTGTGTTTTAGACCTAGTAAACAAGTTGGATCGGATGGGATCGGGTTGGATTGTCTCAGATCTTGAATATTTTAGATTCGTTCATTTTAGATGTCGAGTTAAAAGGGCAGATTTATAACCTAACAGATCTAATATTAGATCGGATGGACAGTTTTCTTTTTCATTTTTTTTATTGTAATTTGAAAGATTAAAAGATGTGTAAATATTTAAATTCATAAAACGAACACACCATTCAAATATCACCCAATCCATAAAACCACATACCAGATTATCTAATAAGCCTCAAACAAAGATCAAGGGCCAATGTCAATTGGTTAGCCATTACGTTAAAAATGCACCCAAGCATATCCAAAAAGTTAGGAGTTTTTACACCTGCAGAACAGAGATGGGAGGTATGAATTTGTTCCAAAATAATTATTTTTTTCTTACTTTAACCATATCATTATCGACTTATTTAGATTAATCATTTTATTATAAAAAGTCTAACTTTATTTATTTATCTGTTTTTAAAGGTAATATAAGTAAACACATAAATAATATCTCTAAATTTTTAATTTGAAAAAAAAAAGTCAATAATTAATAGTTATTTTGAAACAAAAAAGAATTAGTTTGTGAACATGAAATATTGTCAAGAAAGTAGATAATGTCTTTATGAAAACACCATTCTTTTAAGGAATCAAAGGGGATAAAATATGGCTTTATGAAACTATCTATCAAAAAGAATCACTCATGTATAGAATATTAGTACAACACCAGGAGACATCTTCTAGCTCACTACACATTAGCATACTAATACATCAAAATGTTCAAAACTGGGCAAGTATAAAGGCACTACTAATGTCTACCATTTTCAAGAGAAATTACTAAGTTTAGGAAAGAATAAGATTAGAACGGAATTAACATCAAATTGTATCTTTGCCAGCTTTTCCTCTTGCAACTCAAAAATGCCTCTTGGAAAACAATTTTCAGTGCCACTAGCCTAAGTTGCTATAATACAGAATTGCCATTCAAATTCGTATAAACATAGGAAGCACTCCATATAAGAAATTTTGTTTCCTTCTGAGACCATTAATCAAGCAGCTAGTAGGCATAAAGAATTTTCACAAGTCACAACTATTAGCAAAAATGTTTGAACTTTCAAGAATACCCCATTAAATTCATAATTAGAATTCAAAAAGGCATAGTCCCTTAGTGTGCAACTTTTTTTCTTTTCACATAAGAGCTCCGTCTTTTTCTAATTTAGAAAACGACTTTTTAATGTTTTCTATTTTCTCACATTTTTCATTTCTTTTTTCTTTTAAATGAATTTTATTTTTATTTATCAAATAAATTTTCTACTCACTTTTCATTTTCTAATAAAAATGAAAAACTGTTTTGTTTTCTAATAGTTGGCTTCTTGGCTTCTCAGTTCCTATGGTTATGGTTGTAGTCTTAATTTTTCCATGTCAAGAAATGGAGAAAGTGTAAAAATAATGAATTGTCACAAGTTATTATACCATGTTACTCTTTCTTAGAATTTTAGATTTTTGTTGTTATTATTATTATATATAATAAGGCAACTTCATGCAACTGTGACATTATTATTAAATTCAACTAATAAAAGAGCCAAAACAGAGTAAGGAGAAAAGGAAGACGAAAAACATTGCCTATTTAATGCAAGAACAGGATTTGAACCAATTTAATGATAAAAATCTCCTAAGAACAAACCGCTTGAACAGCCAACCGAAGATCAATGTTGTTCTTGCAATGTGTCGGCCCAAAAGTATCTTCACTGATATTGAAGGAACAACTCTTATGGCCAAGACAAGTCTCTCTAACAATACGCATTGTGTTGGTCGCCCCACAACGACCTCTATGAAAATATCCACAGCTGCCTGTGGTTTCACCAAAATAAGCAAACTTGATATCAGTGAAAACTTGATCACCTTGGCATGACAGCTCCAGGAATCCCCCATCATAAGCATGAGCACAAGCTGTTTTAACAGTCATGGTCCGGAAATTGACATAACTTGGATTGCCCCCAAACTCCTCAAACAAAACTAGCTCATTATCTTGATCATCATTTTGGAGGAAACCCCGTGGAACATGGTACCTAAAATCATTATCAAGAAAGAAATTCAGGACTAAATGAATCCTCAAAACATATAGCAGTGGAATCATTAAATAGTTAATTAAGAATTGCGACTGTCATACCATCGTTGAGTAGGTCCTCCACATTTTTTCCGACACACATCCTTTTTGCCCCAGTAATCTCCGCGATAGTCGCAGGTAATGCTTTCACTGCAAGCATCTTCTGAAGAAATGAGGGTTTGCCAATACCTGCCAAGGCTGTGGCCATTGACCCAAGCCTCTCCCTTTCCAAGACCCGACAGGTCCACAACAACAGGATCAGTTCCCAATGGAGCCTTGAAGGTTGTCTGAGGATATATAAAACACAAGAAAGCACCCTTTAGATGTTTAAACACTATCAATGAGATTAGTTTTACAGCTTGTATATATTCAGATTAAGGCACTCTACCTTGTACCAAACAAACTTTCTGTCTGTTGGAAGCTTTCTTGTAAACCATTTTCTTGAGTGTTCATTATAAAGTTTCTTCTTTTCACCATCCAATCCAACCTTGTAGAGCCATTCATTTTTAGAAAGGTCCTTGGTTATATTCTCATGGCCTCTGCCAATTCTTGTGAGTTTAACTGGACCATGAGATACTCCGACCACTTTTTCATCAAACGAGGGTTCATTGTTCTTAAATCCAACAGTCCCACTGAGCAAAACAATTGTATTCCTCCCGAGTTGCAATTTCACTTTCTTCTCTAAAGTGTAGGCATCCCAACCATGATGGGACCATTTTGATCCTGAAACACAATATCCCATCATTCGAAAGTGATCATTAGATCATGGAATCTATCACACAAGAAACGGTGAAAGATAGTAAATAAGAAAATTACCAATGTATTTTCCATTAAAGAACAGATGAAGAACACCGCTATAGCCAGTTACTTGGAGGAATGTGTGTTTTCCCCAAATGGGATCATGCTTAGAAACATGAACACTGAAAATATAACAGAATGGAGAATGTTAAGTGTGCATGGATATTTCTTTTTTCCTTTTTTTTTAAGTGAAATTCATTAAATTACATTACCTGGTAAAGTAATATAGATAATCTGATGTGTCATTTGCGAATTTTTGGTCCATAAGCTCTTTAGCTCTCAAGATGACACCCTGCACTTTACCTCGTTTGTCATGGAGCTCAAGTCGTTCGGCCCTCCAACTCCACTTCAAGCCAAATGGCTCCTTCTCCGCATCGTTCTTGACTGTTTCCATTACAGACCTTTGAGCGTTAACCTTGGCCGTGTTGAAGACTTCCGTGAAGCAGTCCTCAAGGATGGTTACGGACCATGCTGGAACAATGAACTCTTGTCCCCGAAACATGACTCGTGCATCTTTGCTTGGATTTGCATTTCCCAAGAAGCAGACACATTTTCCGTGATATGTGATGACAGTTTCCAGCACCTGGTCACCGTGGTCGGTGGATTTCCTAGTACCGTGAGTCAAGACTTCCTCCATTGACATGAGTACTTTGTGAAGTTGCCTCAGGTGCCCCCATTTGGGTTGATTAAGATTGCCTAATAAATCCAATTAAGGTCACAAAATTGATTAATTAGAAGAAATAAAATGGCATTAAAAATAAAATGAAATAGGTGTAGTTCTTTAATTAGTTACCATATTCATCAAGAGGAGCATCATAGTCATATGATGTGGCAATGTATGGTCCACCAGCAGTTCTTCCGAAATTTGTTCCACCATGATACTAAGTAAAATTAAGTTAAAAGACATATACCATTAATAAATAATTTGTAAGATAGTATATAATGTTAAGTTACAAATGTTGTCAATGAATCATTTTCGAAATTCTAAAAGATGAGATCAAAGGACTAACCATATAATAGTTCATCACAGAGCCGTCTAATTGGAAGAAACGAGCAACTGCAAATGCAAGATCTTCTGCAGATCGTACTGGTGTTGCTTCACCCCAAGCCTTAAACCTGATTTAATTTAATTCTCTAATTAAAAAATCACCAAACTTTAGTTTAAAAGAATAATAATAATTCTAGGAAAATAGTAAAAATCTGACCAGCCGCTCCAATTCTCAGTCCATATCTTAGGGTAATTGGGATTGTTTGGATTTGCTTGATCACAATAGAAACCATTGCAAGTATTAATCTGCAATATAATATCACAAATATAAATATATATTAGAAACAATTAATAAATATTTCTTGAGTGTAGTGTTTTGCAGTTCTAAACTGCAAAACACCAGTTTATTGGGACTAGAACACGTTTTTTTATTTTATATCTCAAAAGATAAATCAAATTGAGACATTAAAAACTTACAATTGGCCATGGAGAGTCATTCTGTTTACACATAATCCAGGGGATACCGATATGAAGATCATTCACCAGCTTCGCACACCAATTTAAGTACCGTTTTCCTTCGTCTCCATAGGCTTTCATTACGTCTCCATACTCATTTTCAATCTTTTTAAATCCGGAAACAAGACAAGTTTTCAAAATATGAAAATTTAAAAATATTAAAAATGTATGAATAAAATCAAAACATAAACCTGAGCAAGGATAATTGGCCCTCCTTGTGAGGCAAAGAGATTCTCCCCTTTCATCATGTCCACGATTAAAGTTGAAAATTTTTTCATTTCCATCCGAATTACACAAAAAAAAAATGTTAGTATTAATAATTTGACTTATTTATTAAAATTTAATAAAAGATAAAATGAAATAAATTAATTACCTCAAATATATCGTTGTCTGTTCGCATCTTAATACCTTTCAGATTATGTAACCACATAGGAAACCCTCTGGAATAAATTGAAGAAAAAAAATGAGATCAATTTTTTTAAGTAGTCATAAAGCATAATTTAAATTTTATTTGCTTCATTGTAATATTAATTGATTACCCGAAATTCCATTCGCCACATATGTACGGGCCGATGCGAAGAATGGCATACATGTTTTCCTCTCTAATGGTCTTAAGAAACCTTATTATGTCCCTGTTTCCAGTAAAATCATACTACAAAAGAAAAATTAAATCAAGTAAATTATCATAATATACTTTGATTATAATTATAATGCTATTTATAATGTTAAAAAAAAAAAAGAGAGAGAGACAAAACAAACAAACAAACAAACCTGACGATGCTGAGGCTCATGAACATTCCAAAAAACATAAGTTTCAATGGTATTTAGACCACCTTCCTTAGCTTTTTTTATCAAATCCGGCCACATCTATACGTAAAAGATTATGTTAGAAAAAAAGAAGTAAATAAAAACCTAAGAGCATAACCGAAACCCCCTATTTTAGGATTCAGATTGTATAAAATTATAAAACAAAATTCTCAAATAGGGACCTGTGTCTAACTGCATAATAGTATTTTATAAAACATAATTATAGGAAATTTGAATTATAACTTACATCAGCAGTGCTACGGGGGTAATGTATGGAACCTGAGATAATGAGTTTTCTTTCGCCATCTAACATTAGTGATTTTGAATCAAAGGTAACTTCAATAGCATAAGTGGAGAAGGTAAAGAACAAAAGAGCTAAAATAAAGATGACGAGTCTGGGAGGAGAAGCCATAACCATCATTTGGAAATAATTAAGAAAAATGGTGGATAGGGCAATGTACCAGGAAGCTGCAATTTATAGTAGAATGTAGGTGAAATGATAGCACAAAAGAATATGATAAAGTTTAACATTTTAAAAAAATTATTTGAATTAGATTTTATCTAGAAATTTTATCTATGACATACTAAAATTAAACAGCGATTTTAGTTGAAGCCGGAAAGATAAAATTTTATTTTTGGAGCCTTAATCGCCTTTTGATTTAATACCATTATCTTCTTAATTTCCTTTTAAATTTAAAATTTTTTAAGTTTTATCTATAGGTGAAGATGTTTTTGTGTTATCTTCCTTGGGTTTACCGTAGCCTATTTCTGGGGGAGGAAACATGCAATAAATTCTGCAGGCCAATATATATAGGGCGGAGTAAATTTACAGATCATTCGTATTTTGGGTGTG